ACCCTAACTCGGTGGTCGTGAAGGCGGCTCAGGGGTTCGGAAGGCAATCATCGGCGCCTTCCAACTGTGAAGGGAAGAGATTTGACGCAGTCGGCAGGAAGCTTTACTCCGGTGCCCTCTTGCTGGCCCGCATGGCCAATTATGGTGCTTGCATGGGCGCATACCAACAAATTCTCTGGGAAAAAGCAGCTCAATTTTTCCAGAGAATGTCTGACGAGGATCGTACTGCCCTCTCCACCCTGGCTCAAGAGGCGAACTCTCTGGCGCATCATCAGATGCAGATGGCGAAACACACGGGGGACACTGCGGGCAAGATGATTGCTCACGCCGTGGCAATCAGGAGGCATGCCTGGTTTAGATCCTCTGGCCTCTCTACATCGTCGAGGCAGGTGATCGAAGACCTTCCGTTCGATGCCCTGGGGCTCTTCAACGCCGGAACGGACGACAAACTGAAGTCAAATCACGACTTCAAGACCTTGGCTTCTAAGTGTGGGTTCGAGAATCAGAACCAGGCGCAGAGGACCAGATGGTTCCAGTACAAACGCCGGCACACGGTCCCGTACCGCACCATACAGTACCGCCAACCAGCCCGTCCCCTGCATACCTCCCAATAAACCCACCCTCAACAACCCCAGCAGCAAAGGAGACAGCACCAGCAGCAGCGTTCGCGGTCCCGTCAAGCTTCTGGAGGCAATCAGGCTAGGCGCCGCATTTGACGCCCTAATGGACGATACCGTTTGCTCTTTCGTTACAGATGTTGTTCCTATGTCCCTCCTTCCATCCGGCTCGACACCGTTCGGGGATCGCCTAACAAACTTTCTCCCTGCATGGGAAAATATCACCTCAGATGCATGGGTTTTAAAGATTGTCGACGAAGGCTATGCATTGGAGTTCGAGGAGCTCCCACCAACAGGGCAGATTGTCGATACCGAACCATCCTCGGCAATTCTGACAGAGGTCGAGACCTTGCTTCTGAAAGGGGCAATTTCCCCTCTCCCGGACTCTCAAAACCATCGAGCCTTCTTCTCCAGGTACTTTACTGTCCCGAAGCCGGATGGCTCCCTCCGCCCAATCCTCGATCTCAGAGACTTAAACTCCTTCATCAAACCCCAAAAGTTCTGGATGGTGACGGTATCGTCCATTCTCCCTCTACTCAGATACGGAGACTTCTTCGCGTCCGTCGATCTCCGGGACGCTTACTTCCATCTCTCAGTCAGAAAACAT